ATTCTCCAACTTCTCGAAGACGACGATACAGGAGGTGGATACGACGTTGGCTGTAACCTGGAGACGACAATCGCCAATAGCAGCCTCGGACCCTTGGCTGCCGAAAAAGGGTTTCGCTGTCTCGTCGGGTCTTTTCATGGACACGCACATAACCGTCGGTGTCAGCTGAAGTTCCTTACGACGTACATCGAGGGGTTAGGTCTCGAAGACCTCGAGACTTTGGAGCGCTTTTTCTCCAGGTCCAATGCTCTTGCCCGAGCCTGCCGCAATGCAAGTGCCTTCCATCGGCAACAAGAGATCACAACATACTTCAAGCATGTCGACGCGTTCGAAACTTATGCGACTCTCAGTGGGTTTGTCCGCTTCAATTTAAATCACGCTAATATTGAGTGTAGGTAAATTCATATGCGACAAACTACACCCAAGCTCTCGCGATTATCAAGGATGAGCCTACCCTCCGAGGACTCATGGCGGAGGAAGGCATCAAGGACGTTGACGATTTCTATCGAGCACTTGAAGAGGAGAAACAATGCCTTGAGGCTCTTCAAGCCGCTTCGGTCAAGAGCGCAACACCATCGATACGTTATGTCCAAGCGCTCCAGAAGCTTGAAAGCTCAAGGTATGTACACCCCCCAATTCCTGCGTTGTCCAGCTAGCTCATTCATGTATTGTGTAGTCAGCATCTACGCGAATGTCGTAGTGCTGTTCGTCGAGCACGTTCTGACGATGCGACATATACCCCCGGGCGGACAAAGGCGGAAATCGATGCTCGTCATGCCGAGGAGCGGCACGAACGCGATATAAGGATTGTGCGAGAGCTAGAAGTCGAGCAGGGGATTTTGGAGCGGTGGAAGCCTGTGGACGCGGCGTATGTGGAGGCGGCACGAGATGCGTTGAAGATGGAGTTCACCCAGGCCCTGGATCGCCTTGAGCTTTTGCTGGTCCAACGCATTCTCGAGTTATCTAAATTGAGTCAGTCAGGTTTGTGTAAGTGGTTGGTTTACACGCTTAAGCCTTCAACTGACATTAATCCAGGTTATAAAATGCGAGCACACTTGTCGAAGGCAGTCCAAGTGCGATCTAAGACTATCAACCGAGCCCTTGAGCTGTATAACTCACTTGCGCCGCTTCAAGACCCACCAAGACCCCAAATTTCCCCAGACGACACAATCTCCCGAACATTCCTGGCCGACTTTGACCTCTTGCGGGACAGTACCACGAACATCCAAAATCAACGCTGGGCCCGGCCAGTTTATCGTGAACTAATGCACCGTTACTTCAAGACGGTTCGCGCTCGAGAGGAGATTTTGCGGCTGAATATAGAGATACGCCGACTTCTTACCTGGATACGAGATGACTACGCATTCATCAAGGAGGTTGAGCGGAAGTTACGGGATGCATCGGGGAAGTCTCGAGAGCAGGTTGCTGATGATCTTCTACTTGCTGTGCAAGTTTCGGAGTATGCGTCGCAACGACACCGCTTTGATGAGGCCCATGTTGAGCGATTCAAAGCATTGGCAAGAAAGGAGGGGTTCAGTGGCTCTCTTGAGCTGGGGGAAGCAGTTAGACCTTTCGGGACACTGAACGAAGTGGTCGATGTTGATGGACGAAGCATCACATCTTTCCTAGATGACCCAGATCAAGACCCGAGCACTTTGGTGGATGATGCGATGATGGTAGATGATGAAGTTGACGAGGAGAAGGCTGATGACTCAGATGATGAAGGTGACGAAGCCGAGGACAATTATATTTCTGACATACTGTACAATTTGGGAGGTATAGCTTTTGATGAGGAGGATCGTACATAGTTAGGTGTAGCTTTCCTTTTTTGGTAACCCACCTACTATGTATGGAAAATGACTTCTTTCATGACGATAAGGTAAACTTGTGAAATTTCCTTATTTGGTAAGTGTTTGATGTGACTACAGGCGGTGATGTCTTGGTCAACCTTAAGATAATCAAGCAAATTATTGGAGATATTGCAGCATAGTTGTTGCATTTGCAGCATAGGTCTTATGTTTCAAAGTTATTGGGATTATAGAGGTTTTATAGCAGTATTTACTGCAGCATAGGCATTTCAAGGTTATCCCTTCATATTAGAATGCGCGGCCCACTGGGCCGTTCATTCTAATATGAAGGGATAAGTGGAATTGGTAGGTGGATATGACTTAGTTATTATTATATATAGTTATCTAAAACCCTCTTTCAGAAATTCCCAGTTTCTGCTTCCACTAGAATTAAGTTAAAAAGTTGCATCATTCTTGTTGAAAGTTGTGTTATGAGAGATTATCAGGTAGGTTTATATATATATAACTTGCAACTTTCTATGCACAACTTCATGACTGAAAACTATTTGTCTTTTCAGCAATCTGATAGGAACAAGTTGCAACTTTCAAGTATCCTGTTGCAACTCTTGATATAAAACTTATAACTTTGAGCATGCATATGCATATGGAACTCAACATCTGCAAGTTGTAACAGACTTTTGGCAACTATCAACTTTATACCACTTGTTTTCAGTTCCTCCATTCATATACCATTAGAATTAATTCAGATCGTGACATTTGATTCTATGGCCAGAGTTCATCAGATCTCAGAAGTTTTGAGACCACCATTATTCATGGTCCATATTGACCAGATCTTAAATTTCAGTGATGTACTATGAAGGAAAATTTGATTACAATGATTCAATATAATCAGTATGTTTTTACACTTGCAAAAGATTATTATTACAATCTCACTTATACTTTTATAAAGCTGATCATCCCCTCTCATCTAGCTCTGTCATAACCATCATTTATAACTCCTGTCCTTGTCACAGATGTAACAGTTGATTCAAGCATAAAGGACACTTATATTGTAACACATACTAAACAATGAAATCACATCCACTTTTTGGTGCAGAATAATGGGCCCAAGAAAACATATTGGGAAATCCTTTACCAGGAACCTCTTCAGTAAGTTCAGCCATAACAACCAATTTGCTGAGGTTGAATGACAGGTTATTGCTGAGGTGGTGATTAACCATGAAGACGACACTCACAAGGGTGCCCCAAGGGGGGTTCAAGATCCTTATCAGGCACATGGGGCAGGGGGTAGGGGGGTCCCCGGGGGGTAAAAAAAAACTTTTTGTATATAAAAGATTTGGGCCTTATATTGTAAAGACACTGAAAATATAGTGTATACACTCTAGTTTCTATAGTTCACAACTCTCATACTTATATCTATATACTTTCATGCCCAAGAGCTTGGATAGCCTACTCTGTCATAGGCCCATCACCAGGTAATTGATGAGAGATATGGCCTGCCATGTGTGTTTGAAGGCTTCAGGTACATACATACCTATACATATATATATACACATACATATGTACAAAAAATTTTGCAAAAAAAGTTTCACAAAGATTGAATTTTTTATCCATTTTTGATCGCATCAGTGGTCACATGATGCTGATTGTGAGAATATATTACTATATATGGTAGGTGGGGGGGGAGGGGGGGTCCCCAGAGGGTCGGAAAAAAAACTTTCCGACCCTATATCCATGTTTTGAATGTTGAATGTCACAAACAACACCAATTCAGAGGATGCCAGTTGGCCAGTGAAGGCAAGCAAGAAGCACCGTGAAAGGATATCGTAAAGATGATGGAATTCGAAGACTGGGGTACAAGACGAAATCTACTCTACTTATATACACTACTACCATGTGTTTACCATACCTAATACAAGAGGCAATGACATCATACTTTAGCCATGCCTTTACGTGCTGTCTGCCTCATGTCCAACTCCACGCTGTCAATCAACATCAACATCGACATCTGATGATCCAATCACCATCTTATCGTCCATCTTATCTCCTCCTTGTCTTATCTTATCAACCAGGGCCAAAATAAAAGGTTTAAAAGGCGAAGAAAAAGGTTTCTTGAACCCAGGGTTTGACATTGAGCCCCTCTTGGGGTGCCCACAGGAATTTTGCCACCTCCATACTAAGGCAATTTTGGATGTATGAGTGGGCACTTGAGAGCGGGTGCTCGTGGGAACGACAGTGGGGGGGGTCCAATCAAGTGTATATAGCTGGGGAGGAGAGCTATATACTTATTTATATAATTGGTGAGCAGTTTGTGAGCAGTTAGTTGTTTGATCGTGCAATATAATAATTACATGGTGAATGGAATTTCTCAACAGAAATGTATTGGGATCAAAATCTCAAATGAGGTTGGCAGACCAATTTTTATTATCAACCCACAGAACCTTCTCTGTTTCACAGAGTTGGGGATATTATATTGGTCTGGAGAAACTATTGAATCATTTATCAGGTTTACTTAGTACCATGATCACAATATAACTATGTCTACTGAGTGGAAGGAGAAGTGTAGTAAAATTTCTCAGACACCTTATAGCTCCTGTAAATAAATTTAAATTCCCATAAAATAACTTTTCTTACTTCCTCTGTAAATAAGTATCCTATATAAGAGGCTACTTGACTACTTGGAAACATTACATGTATTTACACTTGTAGTCATGGAGGAGAAAGTTGGAATCAGCAACTGAAAAGCTGTAGTGGCTAAGGGAAGAATTGTAGTTGTAAAGTTGAATATTATAATAGGAGGATAAAAAGTTAGAGCCAATAAGTTGTAGATTGTTTGCATAGATAGCAAGTTAAATCCATTCCTTGACTTTGAGCATGTTGGAACCCTTGATTGAAAGTTATACCAAAGAAATCTGAAAAAAAAAAATCAAAGATGTAAAATTCTTTTTTTTACTGCCCATATACCTCCAAAAAGTTGTATCCATTTGTATCAAATACTTTTTTACAGTATGTTCCCCCATACAGTATACCAAACCAGAAATCTGCAGCTAGCTTTTGTAGTAAGTATCTTCACTTTACAGGTTTTAGCAGTAGAAGCACCATTTTGACAAAGGACCACTACAATTGTATACTATTACATCTATATTTGCTCCGAGCTTGTAACGATATAGAAGACACATCTTTCAACAGCGATTACTTCAACACGGCACACCACCCGATGACCCGGTCAGCAACACGCTGCACGAGCTGCTCGTATTCCAAGTTACTCCCCCGAATGAACAGCCCCGTATGCGCGGCGACCTCGTCCGCAACGCCGCCAATCATCACCTTCTCCCACCTGTCCAGCCCGCCAAAGTACTCGCCGAGGCCGTTCGGGAGGACGATGAAGTGATGCGACTTGTTCTTTTTCTGCTTTTTCTCCTTCTTCTTATCTGTCTTTCGCGGCGGGCTGTCAGGACGCTCTACCAAAGAAGAATTTGCGATGGGAGGAGTGGATGCAGTGGACGGCACTGAATCGACGGTTTCGACATGCCCCAACGCTGGATCCTCTTCGTGAACGACGGGCTTGGGCACTTGCGTCCAATAGTTGACCCACAGTCCGTCTTGCCAAGCGACCAGGCGGGTGTAGCGGTCCTTCAGGCCGCTGGGGTCAAACATGCTCGAGCCGAACTGGAAGTATTCGACCACAATGCGCTTGCCGGCGGAGAAGGGGTCGTTCGAGTGCTTTTGGAGCCAGTTGCCGACCTTCCCGTTGGCATGGTGGGACAGAAAAGAAAGGGTTTTGTCGAGAATGGGCGACTTGCTGCGTGGTGGGGGTGAAGGCAATGGTGGATCAAGAGAAGTGGGAGGGGAGGTCAAGGGTTGCGAATGCGAGCGCTCTCCTGGCCAACTTAGTGGCTGGCTTAAATCACGATGAGCCTCCACACACCGTCTATCCTGCTCTTGAATGTCTCCCAGTCCTCCGTGACTGCCCTATCCACGATCTGGACATCTGCATGCTTGTTCACGTCCGCCTCCTTGGGATGCTTCTCCTTCGTTTCCTCCAGCTCTTTTGGAAAGAGCGAGGCAAGACCGCTGACGACGACATGGGGGTGCATTCCCAGATATGGGACATCGAAGGCGATAACACCAAGTATCCTGCGTGACTTGGCTGGGCCGGCGTTGAATGAACCGGTTGCTGCATCCGCTGCGAGGAGACCGCCCATCGAATGTGCCATGAGGATGACTGGCCCGGGCGGCTGGGTCTTCAGCCTGCAGCAGTTGATGTCTTGTAGGAGTGTTTGTTGGGGAGGGTAACGCACCATGCAAGAAAGTTGTGAGTAGCCTCCGCAATCGGCTTCCGGCTCTTGTATGTCGGGTATAAGCTCGACTGGAACTTGATAGTCGGGTTGGTAGGGGAAACGACGGTGGCAGACAGGTATTCTTGGAGGTCCTTCGGGAAAGACTACATCGACGGGTGTTCAGCCAACGCGCATGGTGGAGGCAACTGCAGACACACCTGGAAACTCGTCTCATCGCCTACACTGGATTAGCGCGGGAGGTAGGCGGCAGGCGGCAGGGACCTTGGAAGCCGTGAATGTAAACGAGATGAACTAGAAGCTGAGGACGATGAGCAAGAGATGGTTGGCCTCTAGGCGCTCACGTACTTCGGTCATGGCCGTTGAGGAGAGGGAGGGTAACGACTGTGACGTCAGCCGATCTACTTTCGGTTTCTTCCATGTACTGGCGAGAAGCACTCGTACCTCTACAAGACGTATAATCCTTACCATTGAGTCAAAAGCTGTCGAAAGCTTGGGCTGTGCGACGGTGCTAGTGCGCGGCTGTGACATTACTCAAGCTTAAGTGCTCGATCCTTACTCTCTTGAAGTTCTTCTCCCTCACCAATGACGGACGCAAGCCACATTCCCTCTGGCTCAATGCCCATCGACAAGCTCTGTGTCTGGCTCCAGAATGCGAAATCTTCTATTCGGGACAGCCCCGTCACCGACGTTTGCTGGTGGGCGGAGTCCAATACCATGCTCAAACACCAATCCCTTGTGCTACACTTTTCGCATGGCGGGAAAGACTACACTCTCATCCTGGAGCGCGCGGGCAAGGCAGTACTACAGCCATTTCGGTCGGCCCTGGACACAGCCACGTTCACGGAAAGGAACGCAGCAAAGAACAAGATGCTGTGGAATACGCATCAGCTGCTGTTTGCCCTTGTCACCCACAAGAATATCCTTCCCAAAAGTAAGAGCATCTATATACTACAGTCCGGTCTCCAGCTTCTAAATCACATAGGCTCATTCTTCTTCAACGCTTTCTCCGACTTCCTCGATTACAAATGGTCGGGACCTCCTCTGACCCTCGGCCTCCTTCCGCGCTATCTGACTGTCATCAGTGCCCAAGCACCGCGCTACAGCATAACACGAACTAATTGCTACTGGTTTGCGAGGCTGGTGTTCCACGTTATCGCCCTACGACATTACTCTTTCATCAGTAAAAGTGCACAAAAGTCTTTCAGGTCTTTTAGGTCTTTGGGCAAGACCAAAAAGACCTGAAAGACCTGAAAGACTCAAAAGATGCTGGGTCTTATTCCAGCAGCGTCCTGGTCTTGGGAAAGACTTGAGATCTTTCCCAAAGATCCCAAAAGACACAATTAAGACCTGCTTTAAGACCTGCTAAGACTCTTAAAGATGCAATGCAAAGAGTGAATAAAAGTAATAAATTCAATATAGCTAATACAATTTGATAACTACGCTCACACTACCGCTCTACCGGGCCAGGGCCGGGAATCGTTGACCGAAACGCAAGCGCTTCGGCCAGTCCAACCCCGAACGTGAGGGACACAGAAGAGGCGGGCGGGTCAGCGGGAGACAAGCGCTGGCCCGTGTGGGCTGAAACCTTCACGGATTGCAGGAGCAACCCGTCTGCGCCAAATCCTGCATTCTGGCGCAAAAGGACCGAAAATTGGTGGCATGGTAAGGCAGGGAAGGCAGGAATAGGAAGTTGTGGCGGGCGGGAACGCGTCGGTCGTTGGCCGCCGTTTTCACGTCGTTGGGAACGGAGGGAGAGGCGGAGAGGTGGGTAGAATTTGGCGGGATTTGGCCCAGGAACGAGCGCAGGGTGAGCGGGACAGGTTTCGGTCCAGTCTGACTGGTACATCGGCCGACGAGCGGGAACGGCGGGAGTGACGAGCTCGGTCTTCGGTCCTCGGGAAGCGGAGGGGCGTCCCGGACGCTCCTCCGAAGATGGCGCGAAACGGGCAAGAATCGCTTGCGGTAGGTGGGGAACAAGTCTTGGCTGAGCGATGGCGTTCAGAGCAACGATGATGATATAGTGATCGGTAGGCGACAAAGGTCTGGGAGGCAGTCAGAGGATGTTGTAGGAGAACACCGACGACGTACAGAGCCAAGGCTCGACCATACAACAAGCCGCAATCCCCTCCAGCTAAGCTACAGCACCTTCGACGTCGAGCATGGCCTTAACCATCAGTGGAACACCTAGAGCGAGTTCGGAAGGTGTGGAATGTTGCTGTCTAGGTTTCAAGTTGTTTCGCCGTCGTGGTGGCCATTCAGACTTGAACGAAGGGCTTGAGAGTGCATTCGCAGCCTTCCTTGCTCTGTCAGGCATGAAAACTTGCCATTGAGGGGGGAAGGCCTTGTGTATTGATGGAATTGAGGTTTTCGAGCGTTGAGGAGCGGAATTGAGGCCATGGGAGGGTGCCTATGGGGCGGGAGATGAGGGGAAAAGGAAGGAAGAAACACGGTGATGAGTCGCCGACAGCAATCAGCCATCTGTCATTCACATGGCAACATGATGGAACATTAGGGCCTTATTTTGATGGATGACTTGGGACTCGTGAAAACAGTTTACAGCTCAATAGTTGCAATAAAGCCTTTTAATTCTGTGTAAAACTGCAGACCTTCCAAACCTATTGACTTATGATATACTCCTCACCTTCTCACACCTATGCAAAAAAATTTGGGTTTGTTGACTGCAAAGATCATTGTAGAATAAGACCAAAGATTGCTTTCCAAGACCAAAGACTGCTGGCCAAAGACCAAAGATTGAAAAGATCTGTTCCCCAAGACCAAAGACTCTCTGTAAAGACTAAAGATCTAAAAGACTTTTTGACACTTTTACTGATGTTTCCCTTCGTTGCCTCGTCCATCCCTGCACGCACCTACGTCTTACCCCGGACTGCGGACAACCAATCATACGGCACCTCTCAAATCAAAGAGGCCGACTGGCTGCACCACGACCCGTCGTCAATCAGTCTCGTCTTCCGTTTCCTGCACTACGAAGAATGGCGAAACGGAATACTCATGTTCCGCCGATTGGCAATTTGCACCGCCGTGCTCTTGTCGCTGACGGCTGTCGGAGCGACGGGATACGCATTCTTTTTGTTTGCGCGGGGGGTGCGTCGTGGAAAAAGTCCGTCCAGCCAGCGCCTGGACACCGCAGATTCTGTGCTGTTGGGTGTGCTCATAGAAATTATGCTGGTGCTTCCGCTCTGCATATGGCTGGCTGGCGCACTGGTGCGCTACGTTGTACGGCTATTGACGCGCCTATTAGTTCGGCAAGGGACATCGAAAGTTGTGAAGATACTAGGTATGTTTTCTCGATTGAAGCTCGCATTTCGCAAAACTTACACCTCTTTCTTCCAGACCGCACGGAGGATCCGGATAGCGCGCGGGGGGACTACATTCCACCCGTACTTCCGTTGACCGTATCGCCAGACGGGCCGCTGAGGGACATGCCGCGTTCGGGGGGCACCTACCAGCGAAAGACGATGCGTATTCACAGAACGAAACGAGCGAGACCGCAGCTTTGGAGCAATGTACGTCCGTTCGCAGCACCAAATGATCTCCGAGGTACTACTTAGTTGGCACAGGAAAAACAAGTCTATGAGGGAACAAAGGCAGAGTACCTGGCGGCATGGGAGCCCTTCCGCAGTCCCCAACCGCGCAGTATTCTCCGAAGGCCATTATTGCCAGTCGCAACACGATAGCTTTGCAATAAGCTTGACCACAGCGCAAGCTGCAGAATGTAGACTGTTTGAGAAAGCAAGTACTTAATGTCCGACATTTTACAGTTTACGTATTTCAAGTAGGCTTGTGACGCTGCTCGTCGGAAACAAAGGGACTAAATACTTATTCAATATGTACATTCTTTATTCAAGTTCATGCAATCCCGGGACTGGAAATAGTTTTACAGGCTTCTAATATACCGCCGCCTTATAATCGGTGTAGCCAATCGCGGGGTCAGTCCCCTCCGCGCCGTAGAGATGCATCCAGTCGGGCTCGTTATCGAGCGGCTTGCCGTGCTGTATCCGCTTGGCAAGGTCGGGGTGGATGAGCCAGTTGACGCCAAAGAACACCGCTTTCACAGCGTTGTTCCCATCGCCCACATACGTCTCGGCGTCCGCGACCTGCAGCCCCGAGTTGAGGAAAAAGTGCGTGCGGCCCGAGGCGAAGTACGACTTGAATGTCTCCACGACATCGAACTGCGTCGCGCGCAGCTTCCCGTCGACCTCGTTGTCGAGCACGGGGTTGTATTTCGTAAGCACGACGTAGGACAGGGGCGTGGGAAGCTTGTCGATCTGCTCGAGGAGGTGCCCGAATGTGGCGACGGTTTCGTCGAGCGGCATGCCGACGTCGTTGTACCCGCCGGTGGGGGCCAGTTTGATGGCGACATTTTCGCTGTAGACCTCCTGGCACGCAGCGATGACTTCTAGTGCGAAGCGCGAGCGGTTGGCGGGGGAGCCGCCATATGCGTCAGTGCGCTTGTTGGCAGTGTTGTCGAGAAATTGGTGGACGATGTAGCCGTTGGCGCCATGGACTACAGCAATGAAAATCCGAGAAATGTGGGGGGTGGTGCTCACTTTCAACACCGTCGAAACCCGCAGCCTTGGCGTGCTCCGCCGCTTTTTTGAAGAGCGCAACGACCGTTTTGGGGTCCGCAAGCTCCGTCGGCTGGTGATTGATGTCGATAAGACGTGATCAGGGTGAAGAAGCACGTACGACGACATATCCAGGCTCGTCCGCGAGGAATCGGAACTTGCCTCCCCTTGCAGCGATTGCAGAAGGGCCATATACGGGCTCGCCCGCTGCCTTCTGCTCCGGCGCGTCGGGGTGGGCCAGACGGCCAACATGCCACAGCTACTTCGGTCAGTTGTCGTCAGCACCGGGTTGGGGGTGCCTCACCTGAGCGTAGATCTTACTCCCGGCAGCATGCACGCCATCAACGATCTTCTTCCATCCCTCAACTTGTGACGCGTCCCAGAGGCCGGGCGCTGCGGGCCATTCAGTGCTGGTAATGAGGGTCAGCGAGCCAACGATGGCAAAGGCAAACCACACACCCTTGACGGGTGACGAGGATACCCTCAGACACGATGAGTCCGGCACCACCCTCCGCGCGCTGGACGTAGTAGTCGCGCATTACATCGTTGGCGACTGCCCCAGTGGCACGGCTACGCGTCAGGGCACTCATTCCTGCATGATCAGAAATAAGCCAACAAAAACAGCTGGAGACACACCGACGCGGTTCGAGATGGTGACCGAGCCGACCTTGAGCGGGGTAAGGAGGGCGGACATGGTGAATACGACTTGGGTGAGGTTCAGGAAAGGGCCGAAGGGCGATAACATCCCTCGCTTGCACTATCGATCCTGCTTTATACCGCAGATCTGGCGTCAGACAGCCGCCGTGGGAATTCGACTGCGATTCGCGATTTGTGATGCTCGAGGGCGGGCGCGGCACTTGGTCGAAATGTCTATCGCGTGTTCCACCACAGATAATTTGCCGACCAGTTCATTTCGATTAGACAGGTTTGCTTGCTGTATTCAATAGGATTATAGCGCGATGCAGGAGATGGTTGATAATGGCTCACTCAGCAAAATCGATGGCGTCAGCCGCAGCGCCTAGACGTGACGGTCGGCGCATACGGGAGCGGTGATCCGCAACCGTCGAGTTACGGAGGAAGTCAAAGTGGTCGGCGACGAGGAGAAAGGCGACAGAACCAGACAGAACCGCACCGGACGATGGCCAGCTGGTGTGGCGCTCGTGTTTTTACTCTCTTCCAGTCTGCCAGTGCCCCTCCCCGACAGGCGACGAGTATTCTCCAAGTTTCCCGACGAGGACAGGAAAAGCGGCGGATCCAAGATGACGAGAAAGAAAGCCAGAAAGCTATGGCGGCCCTCGTCCCACATGGAAACAACATTGAAAACCAATTGTGGTGCCAAAAGACAAGCAATGGTTTGGTGACGTCTGACGTCACACTCCTTACTCTCAGCGCCGCCCATGACTGAAGTCCGTTGACGAGCTGTGAGCCTCCAGTCAGCTCTCCCTAATCTTCATTAGCTTTATTGGCTCATCCAGTTTACATTCATGCCTTAACAGTCCCTGTCGCCTGTGGCTTTCCGACGTGTTGATCCAATGCAGGCGAAGAGATGAGTTTCCAGGTAAGTCTGTTAGTATTCTTCTCTATTGGACATGTCAATACCCTCTCCCCAGTCTTTTTCGAATACAATACCTACCCAACTATTGCGGAGCCAACCACAAGTGACTTCCTAGCATGGTGTGTGGTGTTCCCCAACCCGGTTTTCCGAGTCCTTAGCTTCACTCCTTATACCGACTCCAATTCTCCAACAGGCTGAAGATGCACGGCGACTGACTCTTTCAAAAGGCCGGGCCAGTCAAGTCCCGCGGGAATCAGGATACTCGTTGCTCGATGCGCCAGATCTCGGACATAACCAGAGGAATCTGGAGCTCCATTGCATGAAAGTGAAACGAAAACAAGCTGGCAGATGGTCATATAGACGAAGAGACGTTGAAAGAGCACAATAGACGGTACGTGTCCTTGGTTTATCGACTCACTTGCTGACTTCACCCAAGACGTGGGTTGCAATTGCATTGCTTGAGCTCATTTCGAAAGACCGGGGGGAAGCGCATGACGCGCGGATGTAAACCAACATGTAGACGGCCAGATATTGACAAGGGTTGTCGGACGACAGTGCGTGTGTTTAGCCCATGGCCCCATCTCCTTTGCTAACTTTCTCAGTCAAGCACGGCTGATGTCAATATAGCTTGGTGCGCTACCTTTGTATTTGATGAGCCTGGATCCTAACATCTTACCAGACGACTTCAAGGAACAGCGCCTCCATACCCACAATATATTCTTCGTCTCTGCCGCATTTGCCATAGGGCTTTCAATTCGACCATGCTGCGGCTTCTCGGAGCCAAACTGGTTGAAGACCATCGTTTACCCACCAAGTACCACCCACGTCTTCGAATGCATCTCCTCTCCTTACTCCAGCTCGTGGCACTCGACATCCGTGGCCGCTTTGACATCCGTGGCCGCTTTCTACCTGGATTTCACTCAAGGAGATGGTCCATTTGACATCGTACTTGCCTTGTACTTGCCTCGTCTCTTTCCCGAGAACCGGTGATATCGGGTCGCAGAGTTGGCTTGGTTTTAGTGGGATGTTGGGGCCTGCTTAGGTGGCTCTGGTGGACGCGGCCAATGAAGGCCGCAAACAAGCGCATTCCATTGCCATTGGGTATCGAATTCCATATCTGTGGCACGATGGCCCTCCGCACTTTTTTGCCTTGGCCGTGTGACTCGAGCACGGAGGTCATTGCACAGAGTTTGTTGATGTCAAGTCTCGTCCAAAGCTTTCCCCAGCTTTGATCATCCTCACCAACACTCTACATTATCATCCACACAAAGGGCCACCAATGTCAGCATCGTCCGGATCCTCAAGATCGTTCTTATATCTCACGAACCTCTAAGCGTTACTGAAGACTTTTAGACCGCTTTTTCGTTGCCCTACCTCACACTAAAACCACTTCTTACTCAATGCATTGCATCGTTTGCTGTACCCACCCTATACTTCGGCCCTCTTCTGCCCCTACCAATTATTGCCGATGGCATACATTCTATGGAGCACTTTCCCCTTCTTTCCCAGATCTCTTACTCTTACTTCGTCGACTTTATGGACACTCCTGTACAGTTATTGCTTTCGACTAAGACTCCTGGCCCGGCCGTGGTAGAACGATTTGGAGCGAGTGTTTGCCCACGAGCACCATTCTCGCGTCATTCAAGGTATATATTTGCTCATCGGCGGCTTCTCCACTCTCACCACCAATGCCTAGCCTGACACGACCGACTGCGCCTCACCTTGTGCCGCCGCCCCCCACAGCCGAGAATCGTTGCGTGAACTCTGTCTTACCATTCTTCTCTGGAGGTTTATCTTGCAAATAGTTGACTATGCGGAGTTGCCGATCATCGACATTTCACAATTGAAGACGGCCACTGACGAGGAACGACTGAAGCTCGCTGTGGAGGTCCGGGATGCGATGCACGTTCATGGTTTCTTCTACGTTGTTAATCATGGCTGGTCGCCGGAGCAGGTCCCTTTCGTCGTTGCCCTACTTATTCATTAGCGGCTGATTGCCTATTAGACAGCGAGGATCTTCGACATTGCAGACATTCCATTCAGCGCCGTTAGTGCAGAGGAGAAACAAGTATATGCCGGAAGAATGAAAGAGGTGGGGTCGTACCAAGGGTACAAGCTGCGTCAGTATTGGGTGAGTTCGAGCAGTAAAAAGATATAAATTCATGATATTTACTTACTTAGCACATCGACAATGGGGTCCACGATCAGCTTGAGCACTATAATAGTAAGCACTACAACATCCCCGATTCCTTTCAAAACTCAGTCTGCAGTCAATCGCGACATAACCAAACGCGGCCACCCAGAAGCTGTGCGACCATTCCTGCCCGAAATTGAAGCTTTCGCCAGGCACAGTCATTTCGACGTGCTGCACCCAGTGTTGCGACTGCTCGCGTTGGGACTGGAACTGGCGGAAGAAGAGCTGGTTGACATGCATGGGTTTGATGCCGTCGGAGAGACGTATGGTGGGTCGTGATTTCTTCGGCGCTGGTCATTACTCAGACACCCCTAGTGCGGTTCATGAAATAGTATGTTCCTGGTCTACCGGACCGCGCTTTCGCTGATTTGGTTCAGTTATCCCCGCAGTCAGGAAGAAGAAATGAAGACGAACAATGTTTGGCTCAAGGGCCATTCGGATTTCGGCACGATCACGGTGCTTTACAGCCAGCCAGTTGCCGCGCTGCAGGTTCTCGGGCCCGATAACAAATGGCGCTGGGTCCGGCACATCGATAATGCGATTGTGAGTTCTTCTTTCGAGTTATCTTTAGAACTAATCAGAAGGAGGGAAGGTCATCAATGCGGGAGACGCTCTCGAGTTCTTGTCTGGCGGGTTTTATAAGGCAACGATACACCGGTGAGCACGTATCGCTCTGCCTCCATTGCTATCAGGATTGAAAGAATCCTGCCAGCGTTGTCCAGCCGCCTAAAGACCAGCAAGCGCTCACTAGGATTGGTGCCTTTTATTTCGGGATGACGGACGACGCGGTAAAGCTGGCGCCGTTGTCTCATAGTCCGGTACTTCAGCGCGTTGGGTTTGTCAGAAAGGTTGCCGATAAGCTGGCGCCGACCATGGAGGAATGGAGGAAGGGGAGGACCAGCGCGTATGGACAGAGCGAGCTGAAAGCTTCAGCCCTCGGGAAAACCGTCGAAGAAGAGGTTATCAACGGCGTAGTCGTCAAGCATTATAGCTGAGACACAACAAGGCCCAAAAAAGTAAACTTTTTCGCGGCTGATCCGCGTGATTGGCGCATGGCATTGCACATCACAGATCTTCGGTGCTTTCTCAGCGGCCGACCATGTCTCGCTGTTTTTCCTTCTCCCCGTTTCCCGTCATCTCACGGGCATTTAAGCCCTACCCCCACCTTTCTCTCTTCGACCACCATGCGCACCGTCGCGTCCGCTCTTTCGCTCTCCCTCCTCCCACTACTCGTTACAGCAGCCTTCTCCCCAGTGCGCGAATACAAGGGCCAGGACTTTTTCTCGCAATGGGACTTTGACGACAAGATCGACGATACGACTTGGGGGAACGTCACCTACCTTGGTGCCCCGGCAGCCAGCGCTGCGAAGCTCGTCGATGTAAATGCGGCGGGCAATGTTATCATCAAAGTGGACAACACGACGGTCATCCAGCCCGCCTCTCTGGTCCATCGGAACTCGGTGAGTACTGCGTAATGGAAAAGGATGTACTCAAGGGGACAATAGGTGCGAATAACTTCCAAAGACACCTATGGCGTTGGGAATGTCATCATCGCGGACTTTGTCCATATGCCCTACGGTTGCTCTGTCTGGCCTTCGTTCTGGCTACTTGGGCAGGGTGCGGAGTGGCCCAATGCTGGCGAGATCGACATCGTCGAGGGTATCAATCTTTACGAGAACAACCAGTTCTCGTTGCACACCCCTGCAGGATGCCAACAGCCGGATAGCGTCAAGCAGGTCAGTACTCTGGCTCTGCTAACAGCTTTTGCTCATGCGTTCCAAGACGGGCAGAATTCTCTCCACCAACTGCGAATCCGTGTCGGGCACTAACAAGAACGGGTGTATTACGGAGGAGACCAAGCCCAACTCCTTTGGCAAGGGCTTTGCGCAGGCTGGCGGAGGAGTTTTCGCCCTCCAGATAGATGTCACTGGTATCTTCATGTGGTTCTGGACCGTGCGTCGCTTTTTGGTCTAGTTTCTCGTTGTCTGACTTGACCTCCAGAGAGCAGAGATCCCCAAATCTATCACGTCGTCCACGTCCACCTCGACACTTGACCTCACAGACTGGGGCAACCCCAGCGCCGCCTACCCCGCCGTTTCGTGCAACGTCACCGAGTTCTTCAAGCCTCAGAACATCATTCTCGATATTACCCTGTGTGGCCTATTTGCCGGCGCTTTGTACTCCAGGACCTGTCCCGGCAACTGCGTGCGTTTCTTTTACTCTCCGTCCATTCGCGTCACCGACACCATATAGGTCAACGACAACATCATCGGCAGCGGCGCCGGCTACAGCACCGCCTACTTCGAGATTCCTTACATTCGGGCTTACAGTGCGGCGGCGGCGCCAGTGCCGTCGGCTTCGTCGTCCCAGCCCGCAGCCTCGCACGCGCCGAGCCCTTCCGCCGGGGGGAAACACCGGCGCTACCGACAACAGCAACAGCAGCAATAGCACGGGCACAAATAAGGGCACCTCTGCGGCGTTGGGCGTACATGGGTCGTTGGTATGGGTCTGGACAGCTTTGGTTGGCTTGGTCGCGGGCGTTATGGCGGTGTAATGGGACCCAGGTTCTTTCTTCTTCTGGTTGCTGCAACGGACAGGTAGTCATTAGCATTTGGTCGGTTTCGATCCTATACCTAAGCATACTATACAATATTGGTTTATAGAGGATGTATTCGTAGTCAATCGCAAGTGAGAGTGTCAAGTAATACGGCTTTGCTTTGTCAAGCTCGCTGCTCGACTGTGGTGGGTGTGTGCACCATATGTAATGCAGACTTGACCCGCGATGGGAAAGTCGGATGGGCCTTTCCTGCTGGAGAGCCAGGGAGAAGAGGGATCGCCGCGTGTGCCGCATTCGCCCAGGCCCATGAATTGCATGTCTATTCTGTTTTAAGTGCTAATTTTCCTAAAATGACGAAATCCAATTATTTCCCCATCCTCGTCCAACTGAGTGTCCAACCCTCTCTCCGCCAACTCTATCAACCACTTGCAGGCCGACTGCAAGGCGAGGCCGTTGTCATTGCGGATTGGTCGTGGTAAGTTAATCCAAACATTTTTCGCCTTCAACTGCTTCAGAACGGTTTTCATCAGCCCCCCCGGGCCCTGCGTGTCACCAATCTTGATGGTCGGGTCGCAAATCAGATAATGTTTACCGGGGCTAGCCGCCCCGGGTCGTCGTTGTGGGTCGTGGACAACGGCAACGATAAGCGTGTGCCATGGCTCGGCCTCCCAGTTGGTTGTCGTCTTTGCAACGATAGATGGCGGAACGAATAAGAGGCCGAGGGTGAATGCCTTTAGTGTGGGCTTTTTTAGAGACGACGCGACGCCATACCGCCTAAGGGAAATACTCCTGATCCGACCCCAACTTCGTTTCGCTACGTCGCGAAATAGCACCGGTATTGTGATAATCTGAAACGAGGTTAGGATTCTACTTGGAGCCTTGACAACTTAAAAAAGAATACCTCGACATCGCGCCCCGTCTGGAAGACATGTTCCCTCAACAGATCTAGGAACCCAAAAGCATCGTCAGCGTTGCGCTCAATGAGTTGAGCAGCGCAAAAAAGATGGTCGGTTTCGGGAGTTGGGGCAAGCATTGGCCAGTCGATGACATCGAGGCGACTGTGGCCATTCAAGTTGGGATGTGCGTTGTCGATTAGGGCAGAGACTTCGTTATCAACCTTCATTATGGTGCTCTTGTCGTGGGTCTTGGACTGGTCATCTCGGTCAGAATCGCGCGCCACCTGCGATGATGTGATAGCACGACGCCGCTTGTCACGACGAGCGTTCAGGCCCATCGAGGCTGGTTCCCGTGTTGCCTTGCGCTTCCCCTGAAGCTTGCCGTCTGTCTCAGGCTTTTGCCAGTGCTCGTCCTCAGGCTCGCTTGACTCGATAGGTGGTCGGCGCCTTTTTGGGGACACGTTGTCGTTGTCATTTGGGGGAGACTGCGCATGCGCCTTGCCTTGATTTTTGTGCAGAGGTGTATCGTCTTGGGTATCGTCATCGTCATCGTCATCGGAGGCTTCGGAGCTGGAGTTACTGTCAGGCAGCGGAGCCATCGGCGGCTTTGGTCTGTGACGGGGCTTTCGCTGTCCAGCGACATTGGCTTTCTTCCGTGGCCCATTGGAGTTTACTTGACCGAGACTTCGGCGAAGCATTTTGAGCGTTGATCCCAGGGAAGTCACAGCGTGATGCGTGACGCGTTCTTCATCTCATCCTCCTTATACATCCCTACAGTCGGTTCTCGCTACGTCATACTCAAGACTTGCGTCGGACTTCTCTGTGATAGTCCATCCAGCTTGGCCATGTCCGTTTTCTTTCGACGTTCTGAGAAGCATGTAGATGAAGTTGTGGAAATGTCGTAAATGCCCTCTTGCTCGCTCCACCCAATCAGCAACACAATTTTACTTACATTATTCGTTCCCGCTTTACCCCCTATCCCCAAAGATGTTCTACACATATATAATGATATATTGCCGTTACAGCCATTATTTGCTATCTACACAGTATCTTGTCCGTTGTCTTACATTACCTATTGCATAGAGCTTGGAATACTGGGCACAGTGTTCTGTGCTAACCTTTGCGGATGAAGGGTAATAGGAACATCTCGTCGTGGCGGCCGCGTTGAGCGTATTTCCTCAAGTTCCTCTGCCCTGAGTTTCGCAAGTGACCTGAGATATTGGGGTCTAGTCCCTTCATAAACTTGCTTGTCCTACGCAACATAAGCTTCAGTTATCTACCTGTGTGTGCCCTCACGTTGGTCCATGGCTGCGGCATCTCCCGCTTCGTTCGGTGTATCCGCATCGTGTACTCTTGGTGGAAGTTGCCCGACCGGCGGAGGTATCGCGGAGGCCCTTTTTTCGCGAGCGAGAAGGGGAGCATAGGCGGAATGTAGTCGCCACGGGCAGACTCTGGGTCGGCGCTCTCTGCGGAGTATATTAGATCGAGAGGACTTCTTGCTGCATGGAATCTTACCAAACAACTTGACCGCCTTCAGAGTTCCTTGCCGGACCAGCAGCCGCGTCAGGGCACGCACCAGCCAGCGCACGAACTTGGGCCCGAGGATGATGCAGGCGGGCAGCACAACCAGCGCCTGCGCTACAAACCCCAGGAAGAACGTGTTCACCGTTGCCACGCGCTGGCTAGCTGCGGTGTCTGAGGCGTTGCGCCGCATAATCTTGCCAACCAGCGAGAACCCGTATCCCGTCGCGCCGATGATGGTTAGCGAAAGGAGGACGGTTGTGCCGATGGCCATTCGGCGGAACATGAGTATGCCGTTTCGCCACTCCTCGTAGTGCAAGAAACGGAGAACAAGGCTGATAGAGGACGGGTCGTGGTGCTGCCAGTCGGCCTCGACAATGTCAGCGGTACCGTTTACTGTGTTGTCCGTAGTTCGGGGAATGACAAAGGTTCGTGGGCGTATAGAAGAGGCAACAAGTGGGAAAGAGTAGTGTCGAATGGCAAGAATGTGAAAGACGAGGCGGGCGAACCAGTAGCAGTTCTTGCTTGCGAGGCTGTACCGCGGGGCTTGCTCGCTGATAGCTTTCAGGTACTGCGGAAGCAAGCCCAGTGTTAAGGGCGGACCGGACCATTTGTAGTCAAGGAAGTCGACAAAAGCCTTGTATGAGAAGGCATCTATAACTCCAGAGTCAACCAAAGCCATTTGAGAGAAAGGAGCGCCATACTCTTCGGTAGAATATCGCGATTAGCAACGAGTGCAAACAACAATCGATGGGACTTCCAGAACACCTCGTTCTTCGTGTCGTCCACAGTCTTGAATGTCCCCGTGTCGATTGCGGAACGGAATGGCCGCCAAATCGCCTTTCCGGCGCGCTCCAAAACCAGGTCGTGGGCCGTTCCTTGATACCAAAAGCGCAGCACCAAGGATTGGTGCTTGAGCACGGTGTCGGACTCAGCCCACCAGCAGATGTCAGTGACGATGCAGTTCTGGATGGCGGAGTCGCAGCTCTTCAACCAGAGACATAGTTTGTGGATGGACAGCGAGCCAGGGGGGAAATCGGGCGAGAGGGCTGCCTCCATGGTAGTCGGAAGAGAACATGCTGCTACGCCCGACAAATGTCATGTCATGGTGTTGCACAGCCTCAGGCTTAGACTTTTGTGGCTTGAGGGCTTTGGGTCCGAGACAGCTATGCTGTAGCGATATGGTTTCAAGAGGAGGCTGGGGAACGCGACGTGGTGAATGACTAGCACGGGCACGGCCCAATGTCTCCGAATCATTGGTCTTTTTCGAAGTAGTATTCGATATTCCGGTAGCTGTTCTCAGACTACAACTCTTTCGGAACTAGATAGGATGTATTCGGAGCTATGGCATATCGTAGGAGTAGTGGAAGGAAGGGCGTCAACATGTGGTTTTGGGTAAGGGGGGAGACAGTGCTTTGAGAAGGAATAAGCGAGTGGTGGCGCTCTTCAAGAGCACTCCTAGCGGAAGAATGTGCAGAGGGGTATTAATTCATCGTGACTTTCGAGCGTTGGCAAGAAGAAGCCTTTTTTTCGTTTCCACATGGAGCATTCAAGTTTGTTGAAAGGTATGGAGCGAAAGCCCGAGAGCGATAGACATCGAGACAATCAGCTTGGGGGACCGAAGGTTGCTTGAAAAAGACTCACCTTCGCCACCAACCCTTTTTGCTTCAAGTTCATGTCGGCTCCCTAAAACTTTTATTGTCATGCCCAGCCCGGTCAATGGGGACAAGAAAGTAGCGCGAGTAGTCGAACACGAGTAGCCTATGGGGGCATAAAGGCCTTTGTCATACACGAGTAAAAGCAAAAAGCGCGTGGAACTGCGAACAACGGTAAGTGAGGAAGATTGTCCACAGAAGGGGGGGTTAAGCCGACGCACAGCGGTTGTCCCTGGAGTGCCTCAAGCGGTCATCTCAGTCCTTAATCTCAATATTGACGAGGGGATCCGACTCCGAGGGGCATCGAAACAACCCAGGGAATCCATGAAGCCTCCATCAGGGAATTTGCGCGTTCCCGGTCAACGTTGGCCAGCGCTTACCAACACCATCAGCATGACCAGGCTGGCGACCCTGTTGGCCAGCATTGGTTTGGTGCTTACCAAAGGCACTCACTTTCACCAACGCTGGCCACATTGCCGCCAACTGGCGGATTTTGTGCCAAACTGCACCGGTTGCGCGGTATTCAATCGCCTCGGAAACAATGCAATATCACAAAGATGGTGGAGAAAATGAATAAATTATATAAAGGAGTACAGAATAAGATATTGCAACCGTAATCATGGTGCAGGACGGCAACCAGAGAGCCATCCAATGGATGATATTTGTGTAGTATCGATGCAGACACAATTCTGTGCGGCAGCGTTAGGAACAGCAAGTAAGCAATGGCCTGACACTCACCGATATCCAACCAATGTCCATCCCTTCCGGAATCCCCCTCCCAATCCCCCTCCGCGCCAACTCGCAAGCGTCGATTGTGGTCGGATGAGACGATGGCAGATCTTGACTTGTGACATGTTGATGACCCTTGACTTGGTTGCGAGAAGCGGTTTGAGTGCCAGCTTGCGCAGCCTTGAGGGTGGTTTGAAGGAGTCAGGTGGATTGAGGTGTGCAGCGGGTACTTGAGAGCTTGAAGACGAGGCTTGAGCTTGCGGGAGGCATGGAGTATTGATAAACCTCCGTGGTGTTTGCTCGAAGAGAGGGTAGATTGTGGGGGGGAGGGCAAGGATGAGGGAGGAGAGGACGAGAGGGGGAAGAATCTGAAGATGATGGGCAGGAACAACCCATGAAACGTGTGACGACCCGATCAGATTGTCAACAGATCAGTTTTCATCACGCCATCGATGCACGTGCCGATACTTTGGACTTAGAAAGATTTCTTTGCCGTTCCTCACTTTGCAGGCAACGGCGGGTCATGTAGCCCTGCTTCGACATTTTTAATTGACAAGTACAGTACAAGTATGCTCGTACGTAGATCAAGCCAAAGTCGTGTTACAGAGCAGTAATAGACTACTTACTTGAGGACCTTGAGTGTCGGACTGCCGTTCCGGGCAGCCTGGCAGGATCCTTGACCATTGCCGGTCAGCAGTCGACCAAGCTTTTACCAGCATGGCACCGAGTTGATCAGATAGGCGGCGTATGATCAGCGCTTGCCAAGTGGTCGCCGAGTTGATCTCAGTTGATCAGCGGCGCCAGCGTACATCAGTTCCGTGCAAATTCCCTGATGTCAACAAAAACGAGTCAGCATGGACTGGAGAGAAAAACATTAGACGTGACATACCCAAGCCGACACCTTGCGCAGCCGGACGGGCAGACTCTTTAGACGTACTTAAGTGCTGCGCTGTCTGGAACGTTGTCGCACATCATTGCAAAGATGATGGTGGTCGAGAAGAGAAGTGTCACAGTTTGTCCGTTTCGAATTCAGTCTATCGGCAACAAATCCGCTTCACTGTAGTAAATCATCTCGTATAACCTCCAAAATAATGAACGGAAAGATTCGTCCCTGCAGGGGATTGAACACTTCACTCGTCAAGCTTTAAGTACTAGCTTTACTTATCATGATCATGTCAATGATGCTGACATCATGAGCGCCGTGAAAATGTTCTTTGCTTCCTCCTATGGTCACCAAACCCTATGTCGTGTCGGAACGAAAGAACGCTTCTCGGGAAGACGGGCGCTACAATGACCACCCGCCCAATGGTCTGCGTAAACGTCGACCACGCACAAATCCGATAGCGTCGCTCGAAACACCCGTCAAGCGTGGGGTTGCGTCACATCTCCTTCCCACTGCAAGTAGCTGGAACTATTTTTGGTGCACTCAGTCACGGCCGACGACAGTGCAGCTGGATGACACTGCTTGTCGATGACGATTCCGAAGCCTGGTGGACAGACGACATCCGATAGCGGGGGAACATGGGCAGCCTCAGCCATGTACTTAAGCTAGCAGGTGCCCGCTAGTTTTCTCCAATTCACAATGCTTTTCGAGATCCTCATCCCAGTCGCAGCAACTTTCACTGCCTACGTCGTGGCACATGCCATCTCAATACTCTATCACAATCTCACCTCTCCCCTCCGCCGCATCTTGCGTGGCCCCCCAAACCCAAGCCTTATCATGGGTAACTTTATGGAAATTGCGGTCAGCCTTTGGTCTCTGGGGCATATATTCTAATCTAACTTGGGATAACAAGGACGACGCCACACAAACGCGCAAATGGCGCGAAGAGTATGGTCCCAATTTCCTGTTCCATGGCCTCTTCAGCGTAAGCACACTTCCAAGCTTTTGGTTTTGTTCTTGATACTCAATATCGGCAGGCGTCCGAGCTCTTTACCACGGATCTGAAAGCCCTCAACCATATCTTCGCCCAACACGAAATTTACCAGCGCCCAGAGAGCCAACGTGATCAGATTCGTCGACTCACGGGCGAAGGTCCGTCTTCCGCATAGCATACCAAACTACATTTCCTGACGCAGGAGTAGGTTTACTTTACGCCATCAACGACCAGCACAAACTCCATGTACGTCCTCAACTTTCCCGAGAATCAGCAGATTTATTTTATCTTCAGCGACGTGTCATGGTCAGTTCTGGTGGCTGCAAAAGACGCTCCTTACCCTGTTCATACAGAACCAAGCATTTGGCGTCAACCAGATTCGGGCTATTACCGAGATTTTTGTCGCAAAGGCTATCCAGGTATGTATTTACTGGAGGTTCTGGGGCAAAGCAGGCTGACAAGGCAATTCAGCTTCGAGATATCTGGGCAAACGATATTACTACCGAGAAGTCGGCTGCAAATGGCCATACTGTCGAGGTCCTTTCTGGACTACGCAAGATGACGTTGGATGTCATTGGTCGTGCCGGTGGGTGGCTCTTAGCTGGTGCATAAAATAGCTGACCTGTATCTGCAGGTTTCGACTATGATTTTGCTGCGCTTACTGGCACTGGAAATACGGAACTCGAACAGGCCTTCACAGACCTCTTCCACGCACCCAACTCCAAACTGTATGGGGCAATGCGTCTGGCGCAAGGAATGATGCCCGTTTTGAAACTCTTCGTGCGCTATTTTTATGGCTAATCTGAATACTGCTTAGTCGTTCTAGCCTGTTCCCGGCCAACGTGTTCTCAACTCTGCCCATGCACGGATGATGAAGATTGGCGGCGAAATTATCGAGGACAGCAAAATGAAGCTGATGGCCGAGAACGATGGCTCAGGCGACAAGACGGCCGCGCTAGGTGGACGACGGGATGTACTTTCCATCTTGCTGAAGGCAAATATGTCGTCCGACCTGCCCGAAAGTCAGAGACTCAGCAATGCCGAGGTCGTAGCACGTCAGTGCACTCACTTTTTTTTCTCCGTGCTATAATGACCGAATTCACGCAGAAATTCCGACCTTCTTCCTTGCAGGGCACGAAACGACCAGTTCAGCAACCGCTTGGACATTGCATGCACTGTCGTTCAACAAAGCTGCTCAAACGAAATTGCGTGAAGAGCTTCTTTCTGTCGGTACAGACGAGCCAACCTATGATGAGCTCAATGCCCTTCCTTATCTGGAGCAAGTCGTTCGCGAGAGTCTCCGCGCGCACTCTCCTGTGACGATAATGCAGCGCGTCGCAACTGCTGACGACGTTATTCCGCTCTCGAAGCCCGTTATCGATAGCAAGGGACAGGAACATTGGAGCCTTCCGCAAGTGTTTTCATACTATTCTTTGACGAGAAGACTAACGAGCAGCATCCATAGTATTACTCGCGGCCAAATGATCCAGCTCCCAATCTGGGCAGTCAATACCTCGAAGGACATTTGGGGCGAGGACGCCTTAGAGTTCAAGTACGGTCTATCAAACTTTCTTCCAACTGTTTTTGACTATTTTATTCCAGACCCGAACGTTGGGACTCCGTTCCGTCAGCCGTCAGTGGTGTTCCCGGCGTCTGGTCTCATCTTTTCACCTTCCTTGCCGGCCCGCACCACTGCATTGGTTTCCGCTTCTCTATCACGGAGTAGGTGGTTTTATTCCTCGTCTTTACTCTCTAACGAGCGATTACAGGCTCAAGGCACTTATTTTCACACTCATTC